CAAGCGGCTGAAATGAGCTTTCTCCGCAGGGTGGCAGAGCGCTCCCTTAGAGATAGGGTGAGGAGCTCTGTTACACGAGAGGAGCTCGAAGTAGAGCCGCTGCTCCTCCACATCGAGAGGAGTCAGCTGAGGTGGCTTGGGCATTTACATCGCATGCCCCCCGGACGCCTCGCTCGGGAGGTGCTCGGGTGCCGTCCCTCTGGGAGGAGACCTAGGGGAAAACCTAGGACACACTGGAGCGACTACATCACTCGGCTGGCCTGGGAACGCCTTGGGGTCCCCCCAGAAGAGCTGGAGGGAAGTCTGGGTGTCCCTGCTCAGACTGTTGCCCCCGCGACCCAGCCCCGGATTATCGGTTGATGATGGATGGATGGATGGATGGACTAAAGGCTACACTCAATGGTTAATATATTTAATATTACGTACACTACTAATCTCACCTTTACTTCGTATTGGTTAGCTATAACATAATTTCTGAATGAAGTAAAGAAGCTTGTTTATATCATATGCAAGGATATGATTCTGAGAGAACACTGAAGGGGGGTTGATTTGGTTTGGAGGGTGCAGTATTAAAATTCCTAACACTGTTTGCAGAACCTATACATTTTCCCTCTGAAAATTGATTTCATCTTTATTGAATTTGTGTAAAATAGCAGTGTCCTTATACCAGGGTTCAGTGGCAAATATCAAGTCACTAAACAAATACACTCTTATCTGTCAACCTGAGCTGACCCAATTAAAAGCATAGAGGTTCATCTTTTGTATGAACCTCTATGCTCATCAGAATCAGAACACTGCTACAATTCTCCAATTAAAGTAGTGAGGCATCATGTGAGTTTTAAAGTGGACCAAGTCTTAATATATCATAAAAATAGGCCACAAAACCTAAAACAGGAGCGGGGACTTAATGAGATAAAAGTGTCACAATGAAGGTATGTTTACTTCCTGTTAAATGCACTATTTTGGACTGGACGCAGTGGGAGGTTGTGTCTTTCATCCAGAAGATTAAGGGTTTGAGTCCAGCTAATCCCCAGTTTGAGTTACATCAGGGAGAGCATCTGATGTTTCAACTGTCAAATCACAATCATGTGCACTACCACTGGAGTGACCCCCGATGGAGAGACAAACCCATGTGATCCTTCATTGAACACACAAAATATTGGAGGCAGCAGAGCATTACTTCTTCAAGTCTAAAATAGCTTTGCCAGCTGGGCTTTCAATGTACTGTGCCCAGAGAGTGTAGGGACCATGACGCTGGAGCAGGGTCTTCACAAAATATTTCCACAAATAAAAATGTCATTTTTATTTCCAGCTATTGTTATACTTTTTTTATTTCATAAAATATGAAATAGACACAGGAGGAAGTAACAGGAGAAGCCTGAAGCTGATCGTAAAACAATCTCTTCAATTAATGCGCAACGATTAAGTTTATTACATTTCTAACGAGAAAGAAAAACTGAAATTGATAATTTGATAGAAAATAACTACAGTATTTCTAGACCAGAGTGACATGACAACTGCAGGGACTTAATTAGAAGTGGTGTAAAGTGGAGTAAATTAAAATTCACATTTAATGGGAAAGAGGGGACGACGAATGGTTTGGATGTGTTGTGAGGAGCATTTCTAAATTTCGGTCTATAACGACTCGTTCAAGATGCTTAATGTAAATGTTTTCAGTGATTAATATTAGTCTTTTTATAAGGCAAATGTAGTTTTTAATACTTTGTCAATCTATCATAGATCACACAGGAATTCATCTAGATCTTTTACTCACTGTGTAGTTTGGATTTCCTGCCTGGACCTTTAGCTCAGCCAACGCCCAGATGCCGTTGGTGAGTTTCATGGACTGATAGAGCATATCCTGACCGTCCACAGTTCGCTCGGCTATGGTGAAGATGTTAATGCTCTGCAGTTTGTTAGAGGCTGCATCTGTAAAAGAAGGAAACATATATATAAAATAATTCATAATTTAACTTTCACTGTTATCTTAATCAGGGCTTGTCATTTCGTTTCTTTTTTAGTTGCTACAGCATACATGACAAATGATTATGCCACACATTAATGCCTAATGCAATGCAACAAATGCTCTTTTTTACAGTTGTATCTTAGAGTTTGTACATTTACTCAAATTGTTGTTATGGTTGTGTTTTTCAACAGATGACACTGAGAAAAAACTCCCAAATCTCACAGTCTGGAACCTTGGCTTTGTCTCTAGGTGCTGGAAATATCTGAAATGTCACTAAACAATGAAAACATGAGCGCCGCCCCAAGGAGACATGCAAATTTTGGCTGGTAGTGTTATATGGGACACCACACCACCAGGAAGTTTCAATATGGCCCATTAAAGACAGTGTGACAACAGACTTGGATAAACATAAAAACTTTTAACCCATTTGCATTTCCATCATTTTCCAGGATGCATGTGTATTTAATGCACACCACCTCTATACAGTGGGGGAAATAAGTATTTGGCCCCTTGCTGATTTTACAGGTTTGCCCACTTACAAAGAATGCAACGATCTATATTTTTTATCATATGTATATTCTAACAGTGAGAGACAGAATCCAAAGGAAAATTCCAGAAATTCACATCATAAGAATTTATAAAAATTGATAACCATCTGATGAGGAAAAACAAGTATTTGACCCCCTACCATACAGCAAGTATTCTGGTTCCTACAAGCCATTATCTACATTAAATAACCCTGCCTCACCTCGTTACCTGTATAAAAGACACCTGTCCACACCCAAACAACCAGCATCCAACATCTCCACCATGGGCAAGACCAAAGAGCTTTCTACGGACATCAGGGACAAGATTGTTGACCTGCACAAGGCTGGGATGGGCTACAAGAGAATCGGAAAGCAACTTGGAGAGAAAAGATCAACTCTCGGTGCAGTAATCAGGAAATGGAAGAAGCACCACACCACAGCCAACCTCCCTCGATCTGGGCCTCCACACAAGATCTTGCCTCGTAGGGTGTGCCTGATCATGCAAATGGTGAGGAATCATCCCAAAACCACAAGGGGGGGAACTGATGAATCAACTGAAGGCAGCTGGGACCAAAGAAACAGTTGGTAACACACTACGCCGTCATGGATTGAAATCCTGCAGCGTACGCAAGTGAAACATTCTTGCTATATGTCACTCTGGGTCACGGCACCAGTTGAAAGATTATTGGTATAATCAATCCGGTTCACGGCCCAGTTGAACGATTTGGCCCTTCTTCGTTCGTGAGCACAACATCAATTGGAGGATTTCTTTCCCCCAAAGTCACAGCACCAAAATTGACAAAATCACCTCGAAGGTAGTCTCAGGCAAGGAATGAAACAGCTGGTAGATAGTTGATTTGTTTAATAACAAAATGCCAAAACAAACAGGTCCAAGAGCAAAATAAAACGACTGGAGAAGTATTCAAGAAAATCTCGTACAACAGTTACGAGTACGCAAAGTCAAGAATAACCTTCTCACAATAACTTCCCAAGAATAACTTCTAACGCATCATCAGTGATGTGCACTTTTATACCTGTGTGGGGGGAGTGGTTTTCGTCTTCCTGGTGTGTGTTTAAATGTTGTAGGCCAATGGAAGAGAGAGGTTAGGCATCTTGTGGCAATCATATTATTGTTATTGTATCATGGTTGTGCCTGCAGTCACCACTATGTGGCGCTGCTGCTCCATGATTCAGCAGTGTTGGAGGACAGTTTTATGAACCTTTTGTCACTGATTACAAAGAAAGTGGACGGAGCCTTGGGGTCCGCCAACAACAGGTGGTCATGTAGATCAAAAGGTGCTTGGGAAGGCATTTGGTGTCTTAGCAGCTTCCTGCTTTCAGACCCAAACCAAATGTGAAAACCACTGAAATCTAACAAAAGGTCCCCCTGCTCAAGAAAAAACATGTACAGGCCCGCATGAAGTTTGCCATTGACCACCTGGACAAGAAGAGGCCTAGAAGAAGGTGATGTGGTCAGATGAACTCAACTCGCCGTGTTTGGAGGGCAAAGAACACCGAGTACAACCCAAAGAACATCATCCCCACCGTCAAGCATGGTGGTGGCAATATAATGCTTTGGGGGTGCTTTTCAGCCAAGGGGATGGGACACCTCCATCGCATTGAGGGGAGGATGGATGGGGCCATGTACCCTGGAATTCTGGTCCAACACCTCCTTCCCTCAGTGAGAGAGCTGAAGATAGGTCGAGGATGGGTGTTTCAGCACAACAATGATCCTAAGCACACCTCCAAAGCAACAAAAGAGTGGCTGAAGAAGAAGCACATCAAGGTTCTGGAGTGGCCTAGCCAGTCTCCAGACCTGAATCCAATTGAAAATCTTTGGAGGGAGCTAAAAATTCGAGTTGCCAGACGCTAGCCTCGGCACTTAAACGACACGGAGGATTGGCAAGAATTTGGACCTCTATTGAATTAGACCATTAACTTAAAAAGGGGGTGATTAACTATGCAAACAATTATATTTCTTTATATATTTTTATTTCATTGACATTACTTTGTAGAAATCTGTTTTCACTTTGACATTAAAGAGTTTTTTCCAATAAATGTTTGTGTTAAAAAAGCCAAATTGTATTGACCATGATTGATTTATGAAAGCACTAAAAGGGTAAAACATCCAAGGGGGTGAATACAGTAAACCCTTGTTTTTCGCGGGGGTTACGTTCCAAAAAGAACCCGTGATAGGCAAAATCCGTGAAGTAGAAATCTTTATTTTTTTTACAATTAAATACTCAGAAAAAGAAGAGAAAGAACGAACAAACCATTTTACAGTCTCAACCATTTGTTTCACAAATAAAGTAAAATAAAAGTACTTTAGAAACGTTTCAACAAATAACTTCTGTAATGTACTGTCAAATAATAATTTTAATCATCAACGTGAACAGAAGGCTTCAAATTGCGGAGATTAGCACCGCCCACCGTGAACGGGAGAAAATTAAAAATGATTATGAAAAAAATACAAATTACCTGGTCTTGTTGCGGGCAGTTGCAACCCTTTTTGAATCCTTATTAAAACTTATTGCTGCTGTCTTCCTTATGTTTTTTTCTTCCTTCTTTATGGAACGAACGGAAGATTCATTAATTCCATAATGCCGACCTACAGCCGCATAGCTTTTACCTTCATTTAGCATGTCCAATAGTTTTACTTTATCACCGATAGACAGCATCTTCCGCTGCCTTTTGGTCCCTACCGCAGGTACTTTTGCCGGTCCAGAGCGTTTTGTCGACATTATGGGGTTTGATAAACTCGAAATTGCAAGAGAATTTGCACGTACGTAATGTCAATTTGGCAAGCTGTTTTACGTACGTGTACATATTAAACCGCAACGTTATTGGCGCACAGGTAGAGAAGAAGCGGAGTGACTTTTTAGCCAATCAGAATGCAGAACACAATGCACGATGCAAATCCGTGAAGTAGCGAAACCGTGAAAAGTAAACCGCGTTATAGCAAGGGATCACTGTATTAACATTTCATTTCATTAAGCCCCCTAAATCATTCTCCAGTCTGTGCAGCAGAGCTGCAGCCACTAGTTTGAGATTAACTCTTCTCAGCCTGTGCTGCGCTCAGGCAGGACTTGAAACTCTTTGTTCATGAAGAAGAAATTCAGTCTGTCAAGGGAAAATCTCCATTAAGCTGTCATTAGGAATTCTCCTCCAGTTCAGCAGCAGTCATGCTTGCATAAAACTAAATTATTATACCTAAATAGGCAGTACTCATCAAATGCAATTTGCATGGTAAATGAGGGTCTGAATTTGTAATCTTTACTGCTCCCCTCATCCATCATACATTTAAAGACAGCATTGGTGACAGTGTGAAGTGTAAGGTGTGTGTGCTCTTGTTCTACTGTCGTCTCTTTTCTGTAGTTCGCTCTCACCTGAATTGAGATGGCAGTCTTTGATCTGAAACTGAGACTCGTTCTCATTTGGAATGTCTTTCCATGTGGCGAGGAACACCTGTCGCTCTGTGGACAAAGAGACACAAACGCTGGATAAACAAGAGGAAGCTTATGCAAAAAGAAAAACAACAAGTCTTGTGCAAAAACAAATCTGCAGTGTGAGCGACATAAGGAGATTTCTTAGGCTTAGCTTTCAGCTACAGCCCTGCTGCTTTGCTCAGTAGAAAACACTACCAGGACTTTACCCAAAAAAATAAACGTGGCAGCATTGGCAGCACGTCACACGCCGTACACATGTTCAGTGCAGTTAAAATGAAGTGCCGACTGACATATGAGCTTTTCGTTGATGTCAGCAGGGAGATCTATGGCTTGTGTGTGAAGAGTTTTAGCAGCGACACACTCACCCATCTTTCCATCCTCTGCAAACAACACACTGATGGGATACTGGCAGCTGAAGTAGAAGACATCAATGTTGTTCTTAAAGGCAACCTGTGACAGTAAATACATCAATGAGCAACAAAGAGGCAATTTATTAGTTCAAGTGCTCTTAAAGGATTGACTCCCACTGGTTTAGGCCTGATGTTTTCTGAAGAAGAGGAGTCAAGTGCTGTGAGCATCTCAGACAAATATACTGAGACAATAAAGAAATCTATTTATATATAATATCTACCATTCAATTTTTCATTCACTAGGTTTGACTTTTGAAGACCCTGACCATATGAAGTTCTTCCATGTCTGTGATACAAAACATTTTCAGGGTCTTCACGTTTTCATTTTCCAGCACATTTTCAGCTGTTAGTGTCACAGGCACCATATTTCATCAAATACTATGAAATGAATCCTAATGTATTAAAACATGTTTCTCTTCTTTACATTCCATTTTGCTTATATCCAGATTGTTTCTAGGTTTTTGTTTTAAAAAGAGAAAAAAGAGAGAAAGCTGTGGCAACAGAAAAGAGGATCATTGTCACTATTACAAACCAACACCAGCACCAATCTTCAACTTGAAAGTTGCTTGATTTTTCTCTATGCGGCAAGTCATGAATCAAGTCTGAGGAGTAACTAAATCTAACGTGAAGGTTAATTGGAAACTGTAAAGTGAAGAGCTGCTCTGAGGTGATGTGCAAATTTGTCACCAGGACCCAGGGCATGGGGCAAGTTCTTAAAGAAACAGTCTATAAACTAACAAAAAAGAGATTAGCGTATTCTATGGACCATAAGGCACACTGGGTTATAAGGCGCATTAAGCCAAACAAAACAGTCAGCGAAACAATTAAGCGGAACAATCAAGCATGCCTGGATCCCTCTCGTCAATATCCTAGTATCATTGCAGTTAATTAGCTGTTCAGTGATGATTCGACATTTGAGACTGATACCTTAGCCCAGTCATCCACGATCCACTGGCAGATAGTGGCGTAATTCGCCCGGTGTTCTGAAGTTTTTTCCTACCTATAGTTTTTTCCTACCCGAGTTAACTGCGCATGCGTACATTGGCCAATTTGCTGCTGCAGACAAGCCATAGTTTTCTGCTACCCGACCGTTAACCAAAGTTAGTTTCTTGTATTTTTAATTCTTTATATGACCAGTATGCAATGCATCAGTTTGACAGTCAAATTATTTCAACTTGCCACGTGCACGAGATCGTGTCTGAATGCAGTTTGAATAGCTAATACTGTGAATTATCGTCATTTTCATGTAGGCATAAAACTTGCTCATGTAGCCTCCATATTTTCCAGCTGTTTAAAACAGTTATTTACTAAAGTCGCGTAATTTTCAGTCATAAAACTTGCTCATGTAGCCTGCGAACTTATGTGTATGCAATTCTATTATTCTTCAGTTTTCTCTAAAAACATATTGTTCCGTTTGAAAATGTAGGTTAAATTCAATGGATAAATAACCTGGTCGATGACACCCGAGACTGTCTGAAGTTCTACAAGAAGCATTTAATCTGTAGTCATAACACAGCTGCCTGAAGAGCTTTGGTCAGTCTCAAAGTAGTATTTGTTCATGAGTTATTTGCACTGATTAGTGTTGCTTTAAAACTAAAGGTGGAAATGAAAAGATTCAGTCGAACACAAAAACAGCTGAACACACTAGTTCTTCTTTTTCTTTCGGCTTTGTCCCTTTTTCAGGGGTTGCCACAGCAAATCATTGATTTCCATCTCTCCCTGTTCTCTGTATCTTCTACTCTGACTCCAACTACCTGCATGTCCTCCCTCACTGCATCCATATATCTCCTCTTTGGCCTTCCTCTCTTTCTCCTACCTGGTAGCTCCATCTCTAACATTCTTCTACCAATGTATCCACTGTCCCTCCTCTGCACATGTCCAAACCATCTCAATCTGGCTTCTCTAGCTTTTTCTCCAAACCTTCCTGTCTGTGTTGTCCCTCTAATGACCTCATTCCTGACCCTGTCCATTCTTGTCACTCCTAAAGAGAATCTTAGCATCTTTAACTCTGCCACCTCCAGCTCCTCCTCCTGTCTTCTGCCTATTGCTACTGTCTCTAAACCATACATCATGGCTGGTCTCACCACTGTCCTGTAAACCTTTCCCTTCACCTTAGCTGACACTCTTCTGCCACCGATCACTCCTGACACTTTTCTCCAGCTGTTCCATCCTGCCTGTACTCTATTCTTCACCTCTCTTCCACAGTCTCCGCTGCTCTGAACAGTTGATCCTAAGTACCTAAACTCCTGCACCTTCACCACCTCTGCTCCTTGTAGCCTCACTATTTCACTGTTCTGCCTTTCGTTTACACACATGTACTCTGTCTTGCTGCGACTGACCTTCATTCCTCTTCTTTCTAGTGCAAACCTCCACCTCTCTAGGTTCTCTTCTAGCTGCTGCCTACTCTCACTACAGATCACAATGTCATCTGCAAACATCATAGTCCATGGGGACTCCTGTCTGACCTCATCTGTCAATCTGTCCATCACCACAGCAAACAAGAAGGGGCTCAGGGCCGATCCTTGATGTAGTCCCACCTCCACTTTGAAGTCTTCTGTCCTCCCAACAGCGCACCTCACTACTGTTGTACTATTCTCATACATGTCCTGCACCAAACTAACATACTTCTCTGCCACTCCTGACTTCCTCATACAAAACCACAATTCCTCCCTTGGCACTTTGTCATATGCCTTTTCTAGATCTACAAATACACAATGCAGCTCCTTCTGACCTTCCCTGTACTTCTCCATCAACATCCTCAAGGCAAATATTGCATCTGTGGTACTCTTCCTAGGCATGAAACCATACTGTTGTTCACAAATCTCCACTTCCTGCCTCAACCTAGCTTCAACTACTCGTTCCCAAATCTTCATTGTATGGCTCATCAACTTTATCCCTCTGTAGTTGTTACAACTCTGTGCATCACCCTTCTTATGAATTGGCACCAGAACACTTTTTCTCCACTCATCAGGCATCTTGCCAGTCTCTAAAATTCTGTTAAACAAACCAGTCAGGAAATTTACTGCCACTTCTCCTAAACACTTCCATACTTCCACTGGTATGTCATCAGGACCAACTGACTTTCCACTCTTCATCCTCTTCAGGGCTTTTCTAACTTCATCCTTTCTAACCTGATCTACCTTCTTCCTACTAGTCTCTGGCTCCTCGTTTCTACTTTCCCTTTCATTTTCCTCATTTAACAACTCCTCAAAGTATTCCTTCCATCTTCTCAGCACACTTTCCTCACTTGTGATCACATTCCCCTCTCTGTCCTTAATCAACCTCACCTGCTGCACATCCTTCCCAGCTTGATTTCTCTGTCTCGCCAATCTATACAACTCCTTTTCTCCTTCCTTTGTTTCCAAACTCTCATACAACTCCTCATATGCCTTTTGTTTGGCCTTGGCCACTTCCCTCTTCACCTCCCTTGTCCTCTCTTTGTACTCCAGTCTGTTCTCTTCTGTTCTGTCACTGTCCCATCTCTTCTTCGCTAATCTCTTTCTCTGCACACTCTCCTGGATCTCCTCATTCCACCACCAGGTCTCTTTGTCCTCCTTTCTCTGCCCAGAGGACATACCTAGCACCTTCCTACCTGTCTCCCTCATCACTGCAGCTGTAGTCTCCCAATCATCTGGGAATATCTCAACACTACCCAGAACTGCCCTTACTTCCTTCCTGAAGTCTTCACAACATGTCTCTTTCCTTAGTTTCCACCACTTGATCTTCTGCTCTGTCTTCACTCTCTTCCTTTTTGTCACCTCCATCGTCATTTTACACACTACCATCCGATGTTGTTTGGCTACACTCTCACCTGCCACCACCTTACAGTCTCTAATCTCCCTCAGATTACATCTTCTACATAGAATATAATCTATCTGTGTGGACCTGCCTCCACTCTTGTAAGTCACCCTATGTTCCTCTTTCTTTTGGAAATATGTGTTTACCACAGCCATTTCCATTCTCTTTGCAAAATCTACCACTGCCTGTCCTTCTACGTTTCTCTCCCTAACACCAAACCTGCCTATCACTTCCTCATCTCCTCTGTTCCCTTCCCCTACATGACCATTTAGGTCTGCTCCAATCACCACTCTCTCTCTCCTGGGGATACTCTCTACCATCCAATCTAGCTCCTTCCAGAACTTCTCCTTTTCTTCCAACTCACAGCCCACCTGTGGGGCATAACCACTAACAACATTAATCATCTCTCCTTCTACTTCTACCTTCACACACATCAACCTGTCTGACTCTCTTTTCACCTCTACCACATTTCTTACATATTCTTCCTTTAGGATCACCCCTACTCCATTTCTCTTCCCATCTGAACCATGATAAAACAGTTTGTAGCCTCCTCCAATGTTTCTAGCCTTACTGCCCTTCCACCTGGTCTCCTGCACACACAAAATATCTACTCTTCTTCTCTCCATCACATCAGCTATTTCTCTACTTTTCCCTGTCATTGTACCTACATTCAAAGTTCCAAACTTCAGACTAACACTTCTATTCTTCATCTTTTCTCTTTTTCTCCTAACCAAACGCCCTCCTCTTCTTCTCTGTCTCTGACTCTGTCTCTGACCAACAGTAGTCCAATTTCCATCAGTGCCCTGTTGGTCAACGGCACTGTTGGCGGTCGTTGTTAACCCGGGCCTCGACCGATCCGGTATGGAAATCGTTTTATTGATCTGCATATTTGATTTAGCTAAACGTTTTACGCCGGATGCCCTTCCTGACGCAACCCTCACCATTTATCCGGGCTTGGGACCGGCACTATAAACACGGCTTTGTGTACCCTAGTGGCTGGCTTTTATATAGCAATGCACATAAACATTTTAAACTTCAGTTTGTGAAGATTATCAGTCATCCAGGTCATGGTCAAGGTTGAAGAGTTCTGTTAGGCAACACGGGGGGAAATAATTACATATTTCTATATTATCTGTTACAGATGAAGTTCCCAGAAGAGAGTGTTTGACTGTGTCCTGTGAATGTTACTGCACATTGGATTCTTGTGGTCTGTTTCCAAAATATTTGATTTCTGATGACTTAGTACTTTGACAGATTTTCTCTTTTCGGCTGGAACAAAATTAAGCAGGCTGAACTGAGTGGTAGCACATTACTATAGACATGAAATCGCTATAAATACGTGCTTCTCACTGTGTTCAGAGTGGTAGCTAATTACTATAGACATGAAAAGCTCATATGACCCAGCTGTGTCAGAATAAACACCATTGGTGTGTTTAATACCAAGTATGGGTCTGTTCATGGAGTTTTTTATTTTATTTGTGTTTGTGAGGATCCTGACTGGATGCTCCACATCCCTCAGGTAATTAAATTTAGACTAAGCCTCTTACACAGGATTTCTTTTACAATGTTTGGAGTCTAGTTAAGGTATAAGGCAGAAACTGGTTTGATTAAAAGACACAGTCAAGGTAAATTTGTATTTCAACTCAACTGTGCCTGTAAATTCACAGGAACAAGTGTAGTTTTACTAGAGCAGCAAAAGACATGGAACAATACTGATCAGCCAAGTCACCAAATTAATGGCGAAAGAAGGACACCACAGAGAAGCACAAGTATGACTTCTAAATAATTTATAAGGGGATCTGATTCCTGGGTGCAATGCAGAGATTGCAGCAACTGTTTCCTCAATGTTTGCAAACTTTACCAGCTACTCTGTAAAGAAATGACTGAAATATTGTCAACATGATGTATGCCCAGTGTACAGGAAGATGTGTGTGAGCCGCAGGGCAAATACTACATCCACACTACCTCACTACCACACTGTATTTGCGAATATTTCTTTGGAATTTTTATACAGCTGCTATTTTGTATTTGTATTTAATTTTTTATGTCCCTTGATGAAGGCCTGTGAAGGAAGCCTTGGATACATTAACCAATAACTAGACACACTTTAAAAACAGCTCAACGACATGCTAATGACATTAAACTAAAGATTAGTTTATCATCTGCAAAGTGTTTTACAAATAAACTGCCACCTTTTAGATAATGAGGCATCTTAACATAAATTTCAGCTGACCAAACCCAGCTTGATTTTTATTGAAATTTTACTGCAGACTAAACAGGTGATGAGCAATAACTGTTGAATTGTTGAGTGTTTCTTTGCACTTTTAACGCTTTGATATTTTACAATGAAAATTCAAAACAAAACAAGTGTCACTACTAATGATCTTCAGTAGCATTAACAGTGAATAGCACTCCATGCTGCGACAACAAATAATTTTTCTAAAATCATGAGATGAGATGAAAGGTCATTAATTGATGGAGTGATGCAAAGGCAACTTAAAGAGAGTTCTTCCAATGACAAACTGACATTACATTTTCCTTCAGGACAAAAGACCAGAGGCTGATAAATCTGACAGTGGAAACCATCAAAGCAGGGCCTGGAGACAGCAGAGATACAAAGATTAGCAGGATGGCTGAGACGCAACTAAATGCACCAGGAGTCACTAATCACCACGACCACCCGCCTCCATCACACCTCTTAGTTCTTCTATCTGTTCTGTCTAGCTGTACAAAGCATCTTACAAACACACTGGAAGTTAAAAAGAACCAACCTGATCAAAAGCAAACCTCTGCTGCTCTGTGTTCTGCCTCACTGAGTAGCTGAGTTTTAAATTCACAATCACACAAATTAGGCAATGGATCAATCAGATTAGTATGAAGTTTTCATGTTTACTGCATATGTCTCAGGCCATGTCATTCAAGGAGTTAATGAAATTCAATAGAAAAACTGTCCATTTTAGTTTTAGTGCCAGCTGTTGAAGTGATCACTTTTGCTAACTGTAGCTTTGCAGAACAGTTCATGTCACCGTTGATAAGTGATGCTGTGTCTCTGGTTTGGATTATGGTTGATAAATTATGGATGATAATTCTCATCAGATGACTATTACTGTTGTCTTAATAACATAATAATGAAGGGAACTCACAGAGGAGCAAAAAAAGGAGCACATTTCACATCAAGACGTCAAATGATGGAATAAAATGTTTAATTTGCATAAAAACCCTCTCAAATTAATTACTTAGCAGATAGCTGTCACTCAAACAGATTTTTAATTAGACCTTTATTAGCCGTCTAATCATTGCAGCCATGGAGTGCAGAAATAACACAAACAAACTTGACAGTAAAGATTAGGGTATGGGTAAAGAACGTTTTTTTCACCTGCAGGTTATTTAGAGGCTCCATCTTCATTACAGGTCCAACAGTATTGAGGGGAAGGCTCACTTCAATATTCTGGTTGGGGCTGAGAGGAGACGGTACCTGTATTGGACCAGCTGGAGCAAGACCAAAGCTAAAGGGAAAATCAAACTGAAAATGAATGCTGTGTAAATGTAAATGGGTCGTTCTGTTTATTAAAATGAGCAGGACTTCTTACCTGTTTCTGTTAAACTGGATGGCAAAACCAGTCATTACACTCATTGCTTTATTGGTGATGGTCATTTCCATCTGGATGACTCCAGCATGACGAACAAAGGTGCCTGAAATCTCCAGACCTTTAGCTTTCATGGCCGGGAGCCAAACCTGAAATAAATAAAGAATTTCCCCTTCAGTGTCGGGTAACTTCACTTTTGTGTTATGTTTCTTTTCATCTCATTTAAGCTCACAGTTTTGGGAGGACAGAAGGAGCCCAGAGGCATTCCAACTCCATTATCAAGATCAAAAAGGTCATACAGACTTCCACTGACAGGAGCACTGAAAGCAGGTGGCATTGCAGCCGGTGGAGCACCAAAACCAGCTCCCATCTGTGACACAGCACAGCATGTTAGTTTTAATGTTACTCTGATTCAAACAAAGATATCTTAATTCAACAGGAGGGAAATGTCTTACAGCAGGACTTCCTCCAAGGTCTCCACCAAGCTGAAACAAACAAAAATTAATCACATTAAAATGTTGTTGGACAGATAAATCTGGAGGATTTGATTTGGATGGAAAGATGAAGGACAGGAGAGGGCGACAGCAGGGTAAGTCAGTGATCAGTGACATCGATTGGGTTTGCTCTAACACCACAAAAACAGCAGCAAAGATTTCTCCATTTTTACAGCTGACATTTTTTGTCAACATACCTTTTTCAAAAATCCACTTTATTTTCTTTAATCACTGGCTACTACATTTGTCTACCATGGTGGTTTTTAGAACTGCTAAAAGGAAAGGGCTGATCAGAGGGGGAAACTCAGGTCAACACCAGGCTGATACTGGTCTAAATTGGTCCAGAGAGGACCAACCTTGGATGGACTGTTTTCCGGATATGACATGGACTGATGTGGGAGTGGTGGTGACTGAGGAGTGTCCGACCGCAGAGGAATGGGTGGCTGAGCGACCGCCCAGAAAAAGGAAAAGAGTGGGATTCACAACATGCTTTCCTGACATTACAGTAAATCATAAAAACTGGAGGATGAATTGCATGACATCTACAGTGAAAAATTGTATCCTTTAAAAAAATGCCTTGACATGATTTACAAGTGTTGTTCCCTTTCCCTCCATGTACATTAGTTACCGGTTCAGATTCATCCCGTCAAAGGAAAAGAGGAATCAAAGAAAAGGAACGAAAGGCATCAAAGAGAAAATATTAAATAAAAAAGTTCACTTCAGCAGTGGTTCGTAGAAAAACTCCCACCAGGCTGTCCAGTCCTCCTCCCAGCAGGTCCATTGCACCCATCTGCATGCCACCAGAGTGAGGCAGTGGTCCTGTGGTGGCAGGTGGTGTCAGGTCCAGATTAAGGAGATCTCCCAGCAGGTCTCCCTGGGACGGGATGACAGCTGCGGGGGCTTCAGTTGCTGCACCAGCAGAAACGGCATCAGGGCTCTCACTTTCTGCACTATAAAAAATAAAAAAAAAGGAAACAGAAAATTGCACCTGGCGTTGTTATTTACTTTTTTCAGGACTACTAATGCTGTAAGGGAAATTACTCTACATTTTTCCCCATCTGTGAAACACCCCAGTGATTAACACTGTCCACACAACAGCAGTGGGCCAAAGTGTTGCTGGGCTGTAACTAGAGACACCAATATCAAGAGGACATATGTAAAATTGACCTTGTCCTGGTTTTGTGTACATGTTTATGTCTCTGGTGTGTCCCCCTACACCGAAAACCAGATTCAAGAACTGATTAGACAATTTATGACCTGCCAAAATCAGCCATGTATCAGCTTTGTAGTTCTACTGTTGACTTTTAAAAACACACTCACACTGAAAACATAAAGTTAGTAACTGCAGAAAACAACAGCAAGTAGAAATAATGTGTTCTGACACTGCTGGGGAAATGTTACTCAGCAAATCTGAAGGTAAACATGACAGCAGCATCAGAAAAAGCTACAGTGGGGGAAATAAGTATTTGGCCCCTTGCTGATTTTGCAGGTTTGCCCACAAAGAATACAACGATTTCCTTCTGATGAGGAAAAACAAGTATTTGACCCCCTGGACAAACAGCATGTTAATATTTTGTAGAAAAGCCTTTATTGGCCAGCACTGATGTCAAACGGTTTTTATAGTTGATGACAAGGTTTGTGCACATTTCGGCAGGGATGTTGGCCCACTCCTCCCTGCAGACAGCCTCCAAATCATTCAGGTTCCGAGGCTGTCATCTGGCAACTCGAATTTTTAGCTCCCTCCAAAGATTTCCAATTGGATTCAGGTTTGGAGACTGGCTAGGCCACTCCAGAACCTTGATGTGCTTCTTCTTCAGCCACTCTTTTGTTGCTTTGGCGGTGTGCTTAGGGTCGTTGTTGTGCTGAAACACCCATCCTTGACCCATCTTCAGCTCTCTCACTGAGGGAAGGAAGTGTTGGTCCAGAATTCCACAGTACATGGCCCCGTCCATCCTCCCCTCAATGCGATGGAGGTGTTCCGTCCCCTTGGCTGAAAAGCACCCTCAAAGCATTATATTGCCACCCCAATGCTTGACGGTGGGGATGGTGTTCTTTGGGTTGTACTCGGTGTTCTTTGCCCTCCAAACACGGCAAGTTGAGTTCATCTGACCACATCACCTTCTTCTAGGCCTCTTCTGAGTCATCCAGGTGGTCAATGGCAAACTTCATTCGGGCCTGTACATGTTTCTTCTTGAGCAGTGGGACCTTGCGTGCGCTGCAATCCATGACGGCGTAGTGTGTTACCAACTGTTTCTTTTGTAACTGTGGTCCCAGCTGCCTTCAGTTGATTCATCAGTTCCCCCCTTGTGGTTTTGGGATGATTCCTCACCGTTCGCATGATCAGGGACACCCCACGAGGCAGGATCTTGTGTGGAGGCCCAGATCGAGGGAGGTTGGCTGTGGTGTGGTGCTTCTTCCATTTCCTGATTACTGCACCGACAGTTGATATTTTCTCTCCAAGTTGCTTTCCGATTCTCTTGTAGCCCATCCCAGCCTTGTGCAGGTCAACAATCTTGTCCCTGATGTCCGTAGAAAGCTCTTTGGTCTTGCCCATGGTGGAGATGTTGGATGCTGGTTGTTTGGGTGTGGACAGGTGTCTTTTATACAGAGAACGAGGTGAGGCAGGTGTATTTGATGTAGATAATTAGTTGGGATTGGAGATGGGTCTTAAAGAAAGACAAACTGGCTTGGAGGAGCCAGAATACTTGCTGTTTGGTAGGGGGTCAAATACTTGTTTCTCCTCATCAGATGGTTATCAATTTTTATAAATTCATATGATGTGAAGTTCTGGAATTTTCTTTGGGATTCTGTCTCTCACTGTTAGAATATACATATGATTAAAGTTATAAATCGTTGCATTCTTTGTAAGTGGGCAAACCTGCAAAATCAGCAAGGGGCCAAATACTTATTTCCCCCACTGTAGGTTGGTGTAAGTAAACAAATGCCTTTGCCTTCAGCGTTAAAAAAAATGGTACATGACTCACGATCCAGCAGATCCTGGGAGCCCCTTGTGCTGAACCCCATGGTTGCCCTCCACAAAGGCACTCGGAGGCTTGTGGTAGACCGAAGCTAGAGTACCGATGTGGCAGATGAGTTCCTCCAGCAGAGTGGGCTCGATCAGATCCGTCTCCTCAGAGATCAGGGGCTTTTCAGCCAGAACCACCTCCTTGGCAGCCACAGGGTCTGTGGACAGCAGACGCCAGTAGATGTAGCCACGGTCCCTGAGGTCTGGGTTATCAGAATCCTAAGGAAATAGGTTGAAGGAAATGAAAGTTGATTATTTACAGAACATCCATCCATACATCCATCCATCTTTGCTTATCCGTTACCGGGTCGCGGGGACAGCAGTCTCCATGACCCCCACCCAAATCACACTGCACCCCACCAGCCCCTCGTGAACCTTCCTGCGGGTGGTGAGTCCATTGGAAGGCGCAAA